AAGATGAGGACGATTACCTGAAGCAGGTGCCCCTCCACCGGCGTGCGCGTGCTTACTGGGCAGTCAAAGGGCCTGAGATAATGTTCCTTGGCCTGGTACTTGCCTTGATGATAGGGTTTGGTGTCTGGCAATTCGTCAAGTACCTTACCTTCGATCAGTATACGCCTGCGTTCGGATGGGGAGCTGTCTTGTCCAAGACATGCGCCGGTGTGCTGTACCCGACATTCTTCTTTCTGATCCTGTCCATGTCGCGATGGCTCTCGACGTTCCTTCGGCGGTTCTACTTCATCTCCAGGTTCATCAACTGGGACTTGTCGCAGAGTTTTCACATCAAGATGTCCATCGTTGCATTGGTGTTTGCGACGCTACATGCTATTGGTCATCTTAGCGGCTCTTTCGTCTTTGGAAGTAAGCCCAATCGACAGGACGCAGTTGCCAATGTCATCGGACAGGACGCTGTACCACGTTCATACACCGACTACCTTCGATCATTGCCAGGATGGACTGGTCTCACATCTCTCGGCCTGTTCTACCTCCTCGCATTGATGAGCATGCCCCAGATACGAAAGTGGAGCTACGAGGTCTTCCAGTTAGCTCATCTACTGATGTTTCCCATTATTGGCTTCATGATGGCGCACGGCACTGCTCATCTACTGCAGTGGCCCATGTTCGGCTACTGGCTCGCTTTCCCTACTCTCATGGTTCTCTGCGAACGTGTGTGGCGCTTGATCCTCAGCTTCCGCCCTATTCATGCGGATCTTGAGTTACTAGATGACGAGACTGTTGCCATTACTGCGCAAGTACCCAAGACTCGCCCGTGGGACTACAAAGCTGGTCAATACGTATTTGTGCAGGTTCCGCAGCTTTCCCGATTCCAGTGGCATCCGTTCACCGTGTCAACTTGCATCAACAACACCATGCAAGTTCACATCAAAGCAGATGGCGACTGGACAAACTCGCTGCGCGACCTGGCCAAAGAAGGAGGACGAAAGACTATCAAGATCGGTCTTGATGGGCCATTTGGTGCACCAGCTCAGCGGTTCTATGACTTCGAGTACAGCATGGTATTTGGGTAAGTCATCGCTTTTGTCTCTTCGGGAACTTTGCTAACATGCCATAGTGCCGGTATTGGCATAACGCCGTTTTCTGGTGTACTCACCGATCTCCAACACCACGAGCTCGAGCGTGTCAAGTCCGCAAACGACTCCCCATCCTCACCCGACGAAACCCCCCAAGAGCCTTCGCCGTACACGAACCATCGTCGAGTCGACCTACATTGGATGGTCCGCGACAAGAACAACCTCCTCTGGTTTTCCGATCTTCTCAATGAAGTCTTCCGTCAGCAACCAAACAGCGAAGACCTCGACATCCGCATCAACACCTACGTAACGCAGAAGCGCAAGCAGATCTCCCAACACGTATTCCGATGGCTGCTTGAAAAGCATCGCACAGATGAGCACCCGCAATCGCCCATCACTGGTCTTGTCAACCCAACACATTTCGGACGTCCGGACATTCGGGGCATTATGGAAGCGCACTACGACGATATGAGCAAGGTGTTGGCAGATCGGTTGAACGAGAAAGATGGTAATAAGGATGATGAGATCAAGATTGGTGTTTTCTTCTGTGGCCCACCTGTCATCGGTCAACAGATTGCCGATCAGTGTAGCATGCTGAGTGCGAGGGCGAGGAACGAGGGTAGGAAGCTTGAGTATAGGTTCATGATCGAAGTGTTTGGTTAGCGATAGATGATACCTGCTACTTGTAATAAATTCCCCATTTTTTATATAAGACTTCAGCTCAACCTTCGTCAGGTGGCTGTGTCCACATTTTCGGTTATTACAAACCCTGGAGCATACAATGACTGTATCAGGTGTAGTTCTTCGTGCTTGCCATGTGTGTACCTGCCCACGTGGCTAGCAAGGGATTGGGCACGTGCCCAGGCGCTAAACCGCGTCTCCAAAGCCGACGTGTCGGAACCGTCGTCATTCACTGTCCGGAACACTTTCACTCAACCCCTCGCTCAACCCCCATAGTTGGAAGCACAGCGCGCTTTACAACTCGCTTCCGAACAGATACCCCTACCTCGCGACCAAGACTCCGACCTTCTGCAACCCAAACCCACCCCGCGCACACGAGCGACCCCCTCACTCCCGTCCGTACACCCCCGCTTCCGATCAACACACAACATGGCGTCCTCAGCTTCAAAGCGCCTCTTCAAAGAATACCGCATGCTCTCGAACGACCCACCAGAAGGCATCACCGCCGGCCCAGTCAGCGAAGACGACATGTTCGTGTGGGAAGCGCTGATCCAAGGCCCGGAAGGCACACCCTTTGAAGGCGGCGTCTTCCCCGCTGAGCTACGCTTCCCGAAAGACTACCCGCTTGCGCCGCCAAAGATGAAGTTTATGACGGAGATGTGGCATCCAAATGGTACGTTTGATCATGTGGACATGCTTGCGATTTTCCCTACCTAGACACTTTCATTCACATGTGCGAGTAGCGAGAAGCATGAGTTTTGAAGCACTGAAGCTAACACCATTAACAGTCTACCCCAACGGCGAAGTCTGTATATCCATCCTCCACGCCCCCGGCGAAGACCCCATGCACTACGAACAAGCCTCAGAACGATGGTCGCCCATACAAAGCGTGGAGAAGATTCTGATAAGCGTTATGAGCATGTTGGCGGAGCCGAACGACGAGAGTCCAGCAAATGTAGATGCGGCGCGCATGTGGCGGGAGAAGCGCGACGAGTATGAGAAGATTGTAAGGACGAATGTGCGGAAGAGTCTGGGGCTGTGATGGATTTGAGATGGAGAATGGATGTCACGAATAATGGATGCATAGCGTAACAGGAGTCTTTGCGGTGCTGGGTATCTGTAGCTCATGTTCATATAAAGATATTATGGATCTTTCAGGAAGAATGGCATTACAAGCGACAAGGTGCATGTGATGCTACAAGGTTGAACTTGTATCGCTAGCGAAAGTCAGGCCACGCTAATCTTGCCATAAGAATGCCAAAAGCACACAATCAGTCCAATCTACCACACCGTCTGTTCCGCCATCCTACTATTACCTTCAGACAATCTCCAAACCAGAAGCCTCCCCATACCCATTATACGCCACGCCGCGAAAGTTCCACTTCGGACACTTCTCCTGCACATTACCGCTCTTGTCTGTCGCCCGACTGTATATCGCAACATCCTTGCCCTTCTCAACTTTGACTCTTGCCTTCCATAATGCCCACGCCCACTTGAGTTCAACATCCTTGGCATCCTCGCCCTCATAGGCTGTGATCAACTCTGCTTCTGTCCATGTTGCTCCTCCATCGACACTGACTTCGACTTTGACGATGGGGCCATCCGCACCACTAGGCAGAGCATAGCCCTTGACTTCAATCGTTCCATCAGTGTCTCGCTGCACAGTACTACCCGATTTGGGGATTCCAATGACGCTGTTGACCGGCATGTCTTGTAGAGCATCGACCTTGCCCCAGTACTCCTCCGCCTTTTCTTTCGAATCAGCCTCTGGAGGTAGGACTTTGTAGTCGTGCTGCTGATAGTGACTCTGGCTCTCGCTCAGCTGAACGGAGATGGAGTCAAGCCACTTGACGCTTCTCGCTCCAGCAATACCAGGAGTGACGACGCGGACGGGAGCGCCGTGATTCGGTGGAAGAGGCTTGTCGTTCATTTGAAGGGCGAGTAAAATCGAACTCTCCCGATCCATGGCACGTGATAGTGGGATACTGGCACCGTAGAACTCGTCTTCTTGGGTAGGCGTCTGGTAGCACGAGAACGCCACATGCGCTTCGCTGAGCTTGTTTTCATCGACCTTGACACCAGCCTTCTCCAGAACATCTTTGAGGAGGGGGCCTGTCCATTTGCAATTCATGACTGCGCCATCGAACCAGTCGATTCCGGACACCTCCTTCAACTTTGTACGCATGGTGTGACGACGGTTTCCGGCACATTGCAGTGCACATATTACGGTGTGTTGCGGAAATGCTTCGAGGTCTGCGATGGAAAGCGAGAGTTCATTGTTGATGAGTCCTGTGACGGAGACTTTGTGTGTGCTCGCATCGATGTGAGGAATGGGTCCGTGATTGCGGTCGTAGCCGTCTTGGGTGATGAAGCTGTTCAGTGTTAGTATTGTGGCTGCGTATGGATCTTGAAACTGGGCTGTGGGTATCCCGGATCCAAGGACCCTGATCGACTGAGCCCGCTTTCAGGACGCCGTGCGTGAATGGCTGGTCCCCTACTAGCGCCTCTCATCGTCTCTTCCCATCACAGTCTCCTTCACCCTCACATGCGATGAGCACTAGACGTACCTTTGAACCAGCTTCTCAAGCTCCGGCTCGCGATTAAGCGGCTCCTCGACCGAGTACTCAAGCTTCTACCGCATCGTCAGCCCTACTCGACCAAATCCAGGTTACATATCGACATAGTCTACCGCATTAGGAAACCTATATAAAATTCCGGGGGCGTACCTGGATCATGGTCGTGGATGCTGATTTGGCGGATATGGCGTGATTGAGGCTAAGGGAAGAAAAGGTGGCGGGGCACGCAGGCTATAAGGCACAAAAGCGGGGGCGGGGTAAGAGCGAGGTAGGAGCGACGAGGCTGTTTGCTGGTGCCACACGATGCATGTGACTTTGGCAGGTGCGTCGGTGAGCGTCGCATAGGTGCGGCTCTGCGCTATCTTCTATGGGGAAGTTTGATAGCTGGGTCAATGAGGATGGAATGAATGGGCACGCTGTTTGCCGTCCTGCATGACGTTTGTTCAACAATATATTACGACATCTTGTCTTCGATGACCTCGATCTACTGGCAGCATACGATGTCCATCGGAGAGGGATGCACTCTGGGTAGTCTTCGAGTTGACATACATTTACAGTTCTAGACTGGCAAAGATGCGGCCCTTATTCGTCCAGTGCTATGATACATGCTATAGCTTACACAGCAGCTTCTCAACTACAGCGCTGGCTCTGACGCCCAGTCCTCTTATGCGTAACTTTCTCCTTGGGTCTTCTCAACAGTATCCTTGATGTAGCGCACATATGCCGGTATCAGCGGCTTGCCCTCCTTGTTTTTGGACATGTCGTCCAGCGACCGTACACCCTCGATCAATACTAGCTTTGTTCTAGTCTCGAACGTCTGTGCCTCTTCTGACATGGGCATTTCAGCGCCGAGCACTTTGCGAGACGTCTTAAGAGCGTTCCATATGATGAGTACCTCAAGAAGTTCGTAGCAGTGGTCGGTGATGTGTTCCAAAAGTTTGGTGACGTTCACGAAATCAGTAGCTCTCGCGTCAGAGTTTCTAGATATAGCATCTAGCGATGTCTGGAACGTTTGGTCAGTATTGGTCCGCATGTGCAGGAAGATAATGGGGGAAGATGTACCGTGTATCCACTCTGCTGTAACGCGTGGATCAGGCGGCTAGAAAGTTTCTTGACCTCCTCTTTGTCTCCACCGTATCTGTCGGCGAGTACAGCAGCCATTTCTGTCGGCAGCGCAACCACAGATGGCCTCCCTCTGTAGTCGCCTTCGGCAAACTTGTCTGGTTTTCCGCGCGGTTTCACACCGCGTGGTCTCTTGCCTACATAGTGTTCCTCATCCTCCATGAGCTCCACCACTTGCTTCGCCAGTTTGTGCGCCCTGATTGTATCGTCCTGTGCCCAATCGGCCAGAGCCGCTTTGTCGTGCACAGTCCTCAACACCGCACGCAAAACACCGTAATTGTTCAGCTTGACGCCGGTTTCCTTTGCTCTTTGCAACGCCTTCAGAACAAGATGCTGCATGCCTGCAAGGTTCAACTTCCTGATAACGAGCTCCTGCCACTGCCAGTGGACCTTGATCCCGGCCTCTTGGAATCCCTCCAAGCATCTGACAACATTCTCCCAGTCCTCCTTGGTTTCGCTTTGGTTACAAATCTCCCTGAGCCGCTTGTAACGATTCGGTAGCCTATTGCGGTCGAGGTGTTCAAGAGGCAGGGTAACCTCTCCCAAGGTAATTTCTATAGGCTCGGCTTCGAGTTTTGCGCGGCTCTCTTGCGAGTATACGAGCTTCTGTTGCTCTTTGGTCAAGTGTTCGGGGAGGAGAATTTGAGAGTTGAAGGTCGATAGGAGCTTGGATAGTTCGGGAGAAGACGGTGGGAGGAAATTGGGGAGAGCGCCTGATGTTCGCATTAGTGACGTGCATATAGGAAGGCAATTCGGGAATGATACGGACCTCTTCTGCTCACCGCAGTGCGCGAGAATGCGCGTCTTGAGCCATTGGCATAGAGGCAGATATTGTCTGATCGCAACAATGCCGATTGGCAGCCCCGCCGTATTGAATACATGATATGGTGTGTGCTGAATGCCCTGGTCGCATGGCGTGGGCAAAGTCCAGAAATTTGGCGCAAACGCGTCAAACGCGCCAAGCCACGTCGGCGGCACTTTCGCTTTCTCCGACAGGGCAGACACGACTCCAGCCTCAGCTCCAGCCTCAGGTGTTACACAGCCACATTGCGGTCCCTCTTTCCCGGCAAGCGAAATGTTAGCCCCTAGGAGGACCAACCGCTACAGCTGGCTCTTCCCTCGAGCCAAGAAGACCACCAAAATGGACAACGAGCAGGCCACCTTCTGGCTGAGCCAGTTCATCGGGAAGAACTTGCGCATACACGCCAGTGATGGGCGAGTATTCGGAGGCCAGATGAAATGCACAGACAAAGTACGAGGTCATGACGTGTGGGGAGTCGTGCTGTATTAACTTGACATAGGACCGTAATGTCATTCTTGCACTCGCACACGAGTACCGTGCGCCATCAGCGGAGACGATTCGCAAGGCTGTAGAAGAGTCGGGAAATCCATCTGCATCTGTCGCTTGGAACAGTCGCTACGTCGGACTCATCGTTGTGCCTGGGCAGCATATCACGAAGATCGAGTTTGAGGAGAGTACGTTTGCGGGCCAGAAGAGCGCGGTGACGCTTTGACGGAGCCGACTATGGATGCGTAACTCGAGATGCGCGCTCTCACTGCGAGTTTCGGACTGCGTATGTATGGCGCCATGCCTGGAGAGTCTTTGAGGGCGGGCGCAAGCCAAGTATGCAGTCTTTTCGGACCAGTCAAATTGTGAGTATTGCGTATGAGTGCTGTGATAGGGTCCGTGCTGACTATTGTAGGCAATGACAGTGGCAGAAGTGAAGGTGAACTGGTCGCCACGGTATGGTAGCGAGCAGTGACCCGTAACGCTATTGTCCAACTCCAACAATAGCAGATTATTATTGCATTATTGCAGACTACAAGCAAATTCTTACTCACTTCTTGACCTTTTATATATAACCCTAGAGCCTACATCATCCTCTTTACAACACCAACACGACCGTACCATACATCAACTTCCTCAGCACCATGCATACATCCTGCAACGACCCTACGAGGGAGGGCTTGTATGCCTCAAAGCTCTCCCAGAAGTCACCAGTCACGGTGAAAAATTCCGAGCCAGACGGCCACAACCCCTCCACAACCACACGATCTTCCTTCAAAAATCCGTCCAAGGTCTCTAAGCCTAGAAGACGACCACCAAAAACTCACCTCAAGATCCTGGGTCCGGTCTCCTCCCACACCACTGCAGCCGCACACCAAGCCGCCGTCTCAGCATCACCGTTCCTTTCCCTCCCAGGCGAAATCCGCAACATGATCTATGTCTACGCTCTCACCTCGAAGACAAATCGCCTACCCTACGACAAGCAGCACGGTCGATTCGACGTCTCCAAAATTGGTGCCGGATTGATACAAACCTGCCACATGGTTTCGCGCGAAACCATGTACATGCCATTGACATTAAACACCATTGTGTTTCCTACTTCCACAGGAAGTGGAGACCTCGAAGCAGAACTGAAGAGGCTGGGCTGCATGGGCAAAATCATGCGATTAGGGTATGCATTCAACTGGCATGGAAGTTTGAAGTTCGAACTTATCTGGAGCGACAAACACACAACTACAGTAAATCCGCTTCGATGACGCTCTCCACCGCCCTCGGATGCCGACTTATCTCCACAATCCTAAACCCGGCTTCCTTCAACAATGTCGCCCAATGCTCCTCCGTTCTCTCCATTCCACTCGTACAGTTCATGAGCTGCAGATCAAGCGTCGTCATCAAGTTCGTTGCACCCTTCTTCGGCAACACGACCTCGTAGATCAGGAGCTTGGAGTATCCGCGCTTGAACACAGCGGCGACTTGCGAGAACATGCGTACGCAGTCCGCGTCAGGCCAGTCGTGCGGTACAGCGTGGAAGAAGTAGGCGCGCGCATGCAGTTGGGGTTGCGGGGTGAAGAAGTCGTAAGCCTGCTTCACGATCCTCTTGTCCAAGTCTTCGATCGGCATCGCTACGACTTCTGGGGTATCTTGCAGGATCAATACATCGGCGGGCAGATCGGGATGTTTATCCAGCAGGCGCGAGGTATCGAGGCCGTGTGCGCCACCAATGTCGACGAACAATGATTTCCCGGTTTCGATCTCTGCGCCTTCGACAATTCGCTTGGTGTCGTATACGTCGGTCCAGTCCATCTTGTGGTTTCGCAATGCGGTCATCAGACCCATGAAACTACTTCCCTTTCCTTGCGGATCCGCTGCGCAAGTAGCGAAGAAGTCTGTTCCGTTGGTCATGTCGCGGTAGTTGTCGAGCTGGGTGAGGTCGATGGGTTCGCGGTAGTTGTACTTTTTGAGAAAGCCGGGGAGGTTACATCCAGTGGGGATGGTGTGGTCGATGCTGGACTTGGGTTAGCTGGAAGTCTTTGAGTGTCAACCGGGGGCTTGGGTTGTACGTACCCGCACTTTGTGATCTGGTCGGTATGCGATACTGTGTCGCCGAGAGAAAGCGAGTAGGGTGTAGGCTTCCAGGTGTCCACATCCGTCTCCTCTATTACATAAAGAGCAGCAATGTGCCTCAGAAACCTTCCTATAGCGCATAAATCAGTACTACACTTCTTTCTCGCAATGACATAAACTCACGCAACAAGTTCGGCTCAGCCTTCGTATTCGCCCACTCCAGCAATTGATCCAAGTGCACTGGCGCACCGGGGTTCTTCTTGTCAGCTTCCATCCATTTCTTCCAGATACCGAGATCAAGAATAGTCTGGACACCGGCTACAAGCACGGGTGTCTCGAAAGACAGTCTCCAGCCTTGCTCAAAAGGTGTTTCTAGGCGTGTTAGTAGACGACGCGCCGCTTCTTTGGCTTCGAAGCGCTCGGCGTCTGTGGAGAACTGTGAGGGCTGGATCGCGTCCAAGGTGCTGATGATAGATGTCATGATGTGTATGTTAGGTGGTGTTTAGTTTCGCGTATGAGATGATAGTCTTCCGAAGGGACGGATAGCGAACAGTACTTAAGGAACGTCAACATGATTCATGCTTCATTGTTGTTTACTACACATTCGTGAATTCACGACTCTTCAGGTCCACTTCCCAGAAACCCCAGTCATCCCACGGGATGTCGCATACCGCGGACGGCAATAAGAGCTTGGCACATGTGGGGTTGCTCAGGGAGTTGATCCTTAGCGTACGTTAACACATGCCCATGACTCAATTCGGGACACCGTCGTGGCTGCTATTGCTGGGTTTGGCCTTATCTTGCAGGTCATAATCTCAACGGCTCAAGTGGGATGATTTTGACTGTCGTGGGCATCAAGTCGCCGTCAGCTGTAACGAGGTGTTCTAGATGGAAGCGAAAGTTGCGAGTTATGTGTGTCGTCTCTATTAAAAATATGTAATCGCTGTTAACATCAGGAGCTTCTGCAGAAGCCGTGCATGACGTCCTCGCCTCTCCGCGGAGGAAAGCTATATGCTGTAGAATAGCGCCAAACGGCATGCTGTCGCGATAGCCCAAGGGGCACATATCTCGCCCTGACATCGTTCAAACCATGCTCTTACTTCCAGGACGACCATCTTGACTCCCTCCACGCGCTGAACATCTCCAATGAGAGGGCACTGGAGACAGCATAGGGTCCTTGAACAGCTCCTCCATGCTCTCCTTGCTGCTTGTCTCGATGTCTGTCATCTTCGTCTCGATATCCGTCATCTTGTAGATCTCGAAGCCAGTCTTCTTCTTCTTCATCTTTTCCAATGTACCCGTGTTCGATCGCGATCGGTTGGACTCTTTCGAAACGTAGCCATCGGAAGAGTGCCGTGTCTTCCACGTCTCTGCTCTGAACAGGCTGTTGATGACGGGTGCGTTGACTGCAAAAATGGACACTATCTGTTCAAAGTTGTTAGATATCATCGCAATGCGGCATGTCAAAGGTAGTGAGACTTACAGCTTCGCGTTGTGCCCATACTGAGGACAGAGCGACCTCAACCGAAGAGCCGATAGATAGGATACAGCGAGCGATCGCCATCCCCATAACGAAGAGACCGAGAGAGAGGAGAAAGATGACGCGAATTTTGCTGTGATGCCGGTTAGCTTTGGCTTCTGTCCAGGTCGCGCGTGGACTTACCGCCAGAGGCTGATCTTCGCATCTTTCAACATCCACAAAGGTACGACCAGCAGCAAAGCATCTACACTTTCAATGCGTCAGCTTGGAACCACTGGATTCCATATTGATACTCACAAGACGTTTCCGACAGCGATCACGATGTTGATGACAATGCCAGCTGAACACTCCTTGCCTGGGTCAGGAAGAATCTGCCAGTTTCTCTTCAAGGGCAAACAGTGTGTTGTCTGCGTGATGATGGCGGCGATACACGCAGCGACCGAGATACCCGCCACGGCCTGTACATAATAGTAGAGCCTGGTGCTTCTCCTGCGCCGACGAATGAGTATCAGTTGTTTGGAAGCAGATGTGAACTTACGTCAAACGGAGGAACAGGATAATGAGAGATCCTTTCAAACTCCAGACCAGAAAGATCAAGAAGTAGAAAGAGGCGAACATTCCCTTTGCGCCCTCCCGCATCGACTTTCGCGTTGCAGGTGGAAGCGCTTCACGCTGCTCTTGAGACATGGCTATAGGCGCACCCATTACATCTGGAGTGGCGTTAGTCGAGTGATTCAATACCGAAAGACTTGCGGTAGTCAACTTACTGAGATACTCTACCATAACATAGATCAAAGTGAAAAAGATCCACGAGGTGAATGCGAAGGCGTCGTCCCAGTAGAGGCCTCTCCATCCCAATGTCTTCCATCTGGTGAAGAACCTCGCAGCGATGATGGCACTCCCAATCGCGTACTCGGTGCGACATTCGATGAGCGTCGCATTCGGGTCAGACATCTTAGTGGGTCGTTGCAAAAGAAAGTGGGCGAACTGGTGCGCTAGAAAACCTCCACTCGGTAGGTTGTGTTATATGAAGTGTGCATTCTTTGAAAAGATGGTGATTTAGGAGTAAGCACAGCATCTCTGCACAGTGATTCATTCTCTCAATTCGGATAGGAAAGAGTCGATGAAAACTGGGGGAAGGATTTCTTAAGACAGGGATTGGGCCCCGAGGAGAAGCAAGACACATGATGAGATGGCACTCCTTTACCGAGCTTGAATCCGGTTCCTTGCATGTCGACGCATCCCTCTACTGGTGGAGGCGGCCGTCAGCAAGGCCTCAATCGAGCGTATCATGAGTTTCTCGCCCTTGCTGCCTGAATCGCTTGGGCACGCATAAGACGGCGAATAGTCATGAGCCATGAATGATAGCTCGCTCGGGCGGGAGATTACTGACTCGAGTGGCGTGAGGTATAGGCGGGAATAGGTGCGGCTCCCGTTGAGGCGCATGCCATCTTGATGTCTCTGCGCGAACGCGGACGAACCCTTCCACTGGTTCCTCGCTTGCGAATTTCAACGCTCATCCTGATTGCTTCAGGGCTAGTCTCGCATTGAGGAGCGGCCCCTCCCAGCATGTGCCGAAAGGCGGTGTCCTGAACCACGTTCTCTGTCCATGATTGCCCGTGTTCGGTTGCACATGCCGATGTGCGATGGATTCGCGATACATTCTGTGTTGACAGTACCTAACAAGCGCATGAGTATTCCACAACCTTGCCGAAGGAACAGGTACTGTTAGAGTGATTCATGACAGGTCGCCACGACAACAATCGCCCACTCTTGCTGGCGTGGATATGCTGATGAAGAGTCGTGGGAGTGCAGGTGGTGTCCATAGCCCCGTGCAGCGCATTTAGCCAACCAATGGCAACTCAAATAGGATAAGGCATGTTTCGGCATTGCATCTTGGCCCCATATCCCACGTCGGCAATGGTGCAGCGCCGAACGCTGGAGGAGCCATTCCGGAGAAGTAACCTTGGAAGTCGCGCTGCTGGATTTGATGATGTGTAATCAGCTGCAGGAACTTGAGAGCTGCAGCGGCTGCGCAATGAGGGTGAACGTGGGCCGCAAGAGATGGCTCCCTCTTCACCTGCTTGTATTAGAACCGAGTGTTGGGGCCAATACAACCTTTTCTTTACCCCACAAGTTTCCAGTTCTTACAGGTGAATCACAGTCGATGGGTGTTGATAGCTCTGGCTCGGTACGTCAGTAGAGGTTTGCGCCTGCCTGCGCGTCCGGAGAACGCGCGAAGACGGATGCGGCTTAGCACGACGCGAGAACCCGAACACTGGAGATCTGAACGCGTTCTCAACGATACAAGTGATTAAGGTTCACATCGCGATCTGACCCATCTGGCGTGCGATATCAGTCATCATGACCATGCTTAGAAAACAAAGGAAGTTATCGTGTGTTGCAGACGATGACATTCTCAGACCAACAACCAGCCTAAAGGCCACATCGGCGCCCCAGCAGATGAATCTCTCAACTCTTACTAAGTCAAGCCGCATGCACTTCGTCGACGTAGCAAAATTGATATATCGAGCTTGCGCGTAGATGCCATATCACCTCAGCGCTCCCCTTCGATGTCCTCGTCCACTGGCACCTTCCTCTTCCTTTTCCTCTTCCCCTTCGCTTCATCCTCAGGCGGAAGGAGCTTGACCTCGAGAAGACAGCATCCCCTGCCAGCTTCTTCGCTACACTTCTCGCACTTCCTAGTGTACCACATAGGCTCCCGGAGCTCGTTACCACTCGATATTACTCTAATTCTGCCCTCCTCGCTAGCTATTGTCTCGTTGGCGTGACTGCAACTCTCGTTCGGACACCGCCAGACGTATATTTTGACGAGCGGAGCTATATGGGACTTGGCCTTGGTGGTTTGAGGCGGGTAATGAGACATAGCGAGAGCGCTTGCAGCTTTCTGTATCAAGGCTGTGCGATAGTATATTCTTTCGGGGTATAGAGATAATGTGGCTTTGAAGGCGTGATTGGGAAATGGGGCGACGATACATCCACGAGAAGAAAGAGCTGGATTGGAAGTTGAGTGGGAGTTGGAATGCCACAAAGAGTGCGCACGGACCTGGCTACTTGCACAATGACAACCTGGTGAATGAAAGACAATCAGTCGGCAGATACTCTCCAAGAACCTACCGGGGGCCGCGCTCAAAGATGTGAGGCGCTCTCAGTTTCCATACGATGTAGATACCAGCATGTATGTTGCGAACCGTACGTCTTTCCGGCAACCGCGAGCAAACCAAGGTATAGATGCGAGCTTGCTACTGTAAGCTTGCGGTCGACAAAGAATCTTCCGATATTCGTGGGATATACAGACAATGGCGACAATCACGACAAGTGGGTAGCTGGGAACAAGGGGGTTTGGGCAATGAATGTTTCTATGGGTGTATTGACGGGCTACTAAACTCACAGTGGATACCCAGCGCTTCAGAATGCTTTGTATCGATGTCTTTCTTTAACCGTAAGATCACCTCTCCCCATGATTCTCATGTCCTACACTCTCCGTCTGACCATCATTTGTGTGCCGTGCTTCATCGTCCACTAAGTCTTGCGCTTCAACATCAGCTTCTCGTATGCGGAGCGGTCAGATTCAAGAGGTGTGCCAATAGGTGGCAAGACCTCGGCATCTTCCAACTCCCATACATCTCCAAGCCCATGACAGAGGACTGCTACCAGTAGCGCGATCATCTTAGAGGCAAATTCCCTTGTACTGGAATGATCGGCTGCGCAGTAATGCGCGAACGGCATGTGTCCTTCCTTTGCCTCAGCTGACCTCAAGGCGTCCTTGATGGTCTTATAGTTCCCCTGCTGCTCATAGAAGTTCTGCCTTGCCTCCAGGCATATGCTTTGCCATCTCTCGGGTCGATAGACAAGGGGATCGTTACCTCCGAGTAGTTCAAACCTCTGGCAAGTCTCAATATCGGCGGATTGTGCTTGACCATCGAATACGCGATGTACACGACGCGTGGGAGGGTAAAGTCGCAGAGCTTCCTTGACGATCTCTACGGGCCGTATCTGGTCAATATCGGTCTCAGTCGGGTTGTCGGTAGGCTTATGGAAAGCTTTCGTCGGGTTGATCGCTGTGGCATCCTTCAAATCATCGAGATACTGGAGCAAGCTCAATGTCCACGCTGGACCACCGTTTGCGCCTCGATGCTTGATCTCCAGAAAACAACGTAAGACAACGCGCCACATAGTTTCGTAAGCGGGGAGTAAGAAGTTCATGGGGTTCGCTTCCGGCACCTCTGGATCAACATCGGAGTTGGAGTCGGAGTCGAAACCGCCCGGTACCGGAGACTTAGTCACGCGACGTAAAGCTTTGTGTAGATCAGTTTCCTTCTCCCATGCCGGTTGCTGGTCCTCAGGAAGCGTTTCTGCGATTTTGCTCTTGATCCATAGCTCATTGATTCGATGGCCGATGAACGTAATGTCGGTAAAGAGGTCCTGGCTCTCTAGTGCTGCGTGGGCGTTTTTGAAGAGATAACAAAGCGATTGCTTCAAGACGATGTACTGGGTCAGCTCGGCTAAGTCGACCGCTGTGTCGCTCTTCCTTGCCATGTATTCGCTGAAGAAGGTCATCGCTTGAATGCGCAGGCCGGACCAATCGCCATCTTTATTTTCATCTGTCGATCCTGCTGCGCTCTTCATCAGAAACTCGGTTTTTGTGGTGAAGTCTTTCTTAAAACCCAATTCAGGGTTGGTGAAAGCGTTGTCGATACCGAATACCTTCTTGAGTCTTTCATTAGGCTTGGCTCTCGCGCCCTGCTTATCGGAATAGAAACTGTCCGGTCCGTTTGGTTTGAACTGAATGATTTCGTCGCATCTTGCTGCTTCTTTCGCTTGCTGCCCGCGTTCCAACATATTGAGTTGAGATTGGGAATTTGCGAGGTAATTTGGAGAAGTGAATTGCCATCCTTTTATACATTCACTCACGATTGCTCCGGACCACACGCTTGTCGATTTGTTTTCAGTGTCTGACCATGAAAGTGTGCAGATGATTCTGCAAGCAAGCCACGTCCCAGATCATGACGGTTCGGGGAAGGAAGTGCGCATCCGCTCGTTTTGCTCCGGCCAGGCAACGCAAAACCTGCAGAACACCATGTCCCAGCCGCGTGAGCTCACTGTATAACCCTGAACCAGTGATGCTGTCGTGAATAGAACGGAAGCATTAGATATCGGCAGACTGTGTGAGCGCTAGGCCATTGTCTCAGAACCCGTTCTTTGCCCACTCCATCGCAAGGGCAAGACGTTTCTCAAAGAAGTGAGCACCTACGGCCCCTGGAGCATCCCAGTGAGTTGGTTCATCTTCAGCCTTGCGCCAGCCCATCTTCATGCGAAGGTCTTCCGCGTCCATGATCTCACCGAAAGGAACAATACGGAATTTTCGCGCCGGAAGTACGTTCTCGTACGCATTGAAACCACAGCAGCGCCTCCATTCACGACACCAAGACTGCAAGAATGTCCCCATTCTGACAGACTCGGGTTTCATTCCCAGCTCTTCGAGAATATTCTCTACGGCGACGGCATTGCCACGAAGACCTCGTACTACTACGAGACCGTACATGATAAGATCGCTCAGCGAGTTCTGTCCAAGATCGAGGTGCCATCTGACGGTCATGTGAGGATAGTTCTCGCAGGTGAGAGCGACGAGGTTTACATCATAGACGTGTTGACGTAGATCTGAGAGGCTGCCGTAGTCCCCAAAATGGTCTTGAGCCAACAGAACGATGCAACGGATTCGCTGTCTCCAACTTTCGCTGCACATGTCCAGGAAGCCTAGGAGCTGTACAGGGGGTGTTTTTGTCGTAAATTTGCCACGCCGTTCCGGGTGGTTCAGAAAGACAAGGTCGTTCAGCTGCCATTCGACTTTGAGTGTCTCCGAGCGAAGCTGCCAGCAGGTGTACTGAAGCTGATTGGCTTCCCGTGGTTGACGCCAATCGGTACAGAAGTATGCCTTGTAGTCATCTTCGCGGTGGAAAATGAGGCCGTCTGACTCGTGAAGGGCGTATGTGTAGATCCGATCGCGCAGTTCGCGGGGCAGGCGAAGAAGAGAGCTGGCATTGCTACACGCCATGGTGATAGGTATTGTAAGAATATTGGAAGTTATATCGCTTTTCAGTCCACCTCGTCCGTCCTACTAGAAAGGAAGCGCGGTTAACACAAACGAGGCGTAAAGCTGTCTAGTGCGGACGAGCTTTTAGATCGCATTGGTTGCAGCCTTAAACGCGCTCTCTGCAATGTGCTGGGTACAGCCCGCAGTAATTGAGATGAAACAAGAGCAAAAATTATTGTCGTACACAGATGGGTGGCAGCAAAAAGAAAGCGAGTAGTGCATCGGCCGGGAATCTATCGTGTTGTTAGAACAATGGATCGAATGAAGTGGACGATCTAAACTTACCGAACCCGGGGCTAGCCGAAACTGTCCAAGATAGATGGCAACGGCTAATTTTACCACTAAACCACCGATGCTGAAGATCAGAGTGAAGGATTGGTTCACGTGATTTGATGGAAGTTCGGCTCACAAAACATTACATATCCTCGAACGTACCACCATGCTGTCTGCATAGACAACGACGGCATGGGATGAGTCTCTTCGTGGAGTAGAACGAGGGGTTGGTCAAATTTGCTCGCTTAAAAGCATGCTGCATGCAACTTTACTTTGACAAGGTTAGTGGCATCTTAACCTCCACTGTCTGCTCATATATGGAGGCCGACGACAGTGTATAGCACCATTCACAGAGATGACGGTGAACAACCCTTCTCTTTGTTTCTGCGGTATCTTCCAGGAATTCCGCTAACCTTAGTATACAATATGTGACCCCTCAGGCGTTCAGGTAGGTGCGCTTTATTTGGAGCTGTTCGAGTGCCCAATGATGGTGCAAGGTATACGACAAGGCGTGTCAGCTGCTGGCGTCCAAGGATGCGTGTATGCCATGGGCATATCCTGGGACGGGACGGCAGCCACTGTGCACGCCGTCCGATCCCGACGATCGGGGTCGCATGCGATGACGTCCGCGCGCGCATCTGAGGGATGAAAAGTTGCTAACCGGTATCTAAAGATCCTTACTGTATACTAACCCTGTAACACTTTCCTCGTGAGTTAGACTAGTCGTCTATTTGAATCTCAAGCGAAAGCATTGAAACGTGCACTGCTATCTGGTGAGTGAATTAATGCCAAGTACCTTGGCGCCATCTCGAATTCGGACGCCGCGGAACCCGCTCTCTGCCTCCAGACACATTCCGCACTTCCGCTCTGCACCGCCATCCATGGAACAGCAAAACGTCTTTACACGTAAGCGTTGCTGACTGTCGTCATCGGTATTCGGTCTTTTGCGCGCGAGCGGTGTCGTGCTTCGACAAATTCATGACGCATCGCTCGGTACTTGAGCGCACGCTGTAATCGGCCCTGATCGCGACCGGTACAACCTTTCGCCCGCATGTTCGTACAAGCAATGTACGGCAGTACGGTACTATGTACGACATGTACGAAAGTAAGGTTGTCGCGTCGAAACGCGTAGGATTTGTGATCAGGCAAAGCGGCAATCTGTTGAGTGTGGATACTGATTTCGCACAACAAGCCGGTCACTCGAGGGTACGAACAGCGAGCATTAAGAGCACATCGACAATTTAGTGTGGCCCTCCACATGCCGATGGCTACAAATCTGTCTTTACGATTAGTTGAAACCTCGCGGAGAGCATGTCCGACACATTGAGGCCCTGGTGGAACCGTTTTCACGGGTTTGGGTCGCTCTTCGGTGCTTCAGGCGTTCGGCCGAGCCCGAATCGATCCTCAAACCATCCGCTAAGAAACGCTATCAGGACCAATTTCAGCTCCGCCCCGCTACAACAGCGCCCAGTACAGGAAGCAGGGACTTTGTCTCTAGTTGACCCTGAATCTAGCATCAGGGCAGTCTAGACTGCCGAATCTGCACTTGCTGCCTGGATAGCCTCTTGAACCAATCAAGATGACCGAATTTTGGCCGTATGCAGTCGTTCCGCAGCAGTCGGTGCCCGTGGCTTCCTGCCTCGTGTGAGCCCCTGCTTCGTCCGTTGAAGGAAGTAATGCACGCAATTGCGCCTGCGACGTCAGTAAGCTCGGAGTCGCTAATGTCGACGCCCGACTCTCCCTAGACTTTTCTAATCGATCAGGACCCACAGCAGTCCCCATAGGCTCATGTATATCACTACAACCCCAATATTCTTTTGAGTAGTACCTGCTTGAAGCTTTCACCTCTAATTCCGGGATCCGATCTTTAGTCGCTATCATCATCACATCTCAGAAAGACGAGAATCCTGGACGGACTGTTCGATCAACGCCAAAATGGAGGGCCGTAGGAGGAGCAGCGGTATGAACATACCTTCCGGCGCTGGTGAAGACATCATGCGAACACTATCCCGCACATTTTCCGGCAAATCAAGACAAGACGAGAACATCCAACGAGAAGACGACAGTGCAGACAGCGATTCCGCCAAGACCAAGGTGGATGAATGGAGGCTGGCAAGCGATGTGAAGGATCTTCAGCAAAACGATCCAACCGATGGACGAAGACTTGGTGTTACATGGAGCGGGCTCACTGTCAAAGTGGTGCCTTCAGACGCACGTTTGCAGGAGAATGTGCTCAGCCAGTTCAACATTCCACAGCAGATCAAGGAGTCACGACAAAAACCAGAACTGAAGACCATTCTCGACAACAGCTTCGGCAGCGTACAGCCGGGCGAGATGCTGCTGGTGCTGGGAAGGCCTGGATCTGGATGCACGACCTTACTGAAGATGCTCGCCAACAAGCGCAAGGGGTACGCACAAGTCGAAGGCGATGTGCACTTTGGCTCGATGGACGCCAAGGAAGCCAAAAAATATCGCGGCAACATCGTCATCAACACCGAAGAGGAGCTTTTCTTCCCTACGCTCACAGTAGGCAAGACCATGGACTTCGCTACAAGACTGAACATCCCACGTACTCTTCCGAGGGATTCCGCCACTCCCGAGGAGTATCGCCAGAAGTTCAAGTCATTCTTAATGGATTCTATGGGAATATCTCACACCGAGGACACCAAGGTTGGCGACGCCTTTGTTCGCGGTGTATCTGGCGGAGAGCGCAAACGAGTCTCTATTATCGAGACTTTGGCCAATCGCGCCAGCGTAGCCTGCTGGGTAAGTTCACCAACCATCCATGAAGCTGAGGACAACAAGCTCTTTCGCATCCGCAATGATGGAAGCTGACATGACACAGGATAATTCCACACGTGGTCTCGACGCAAGCACTGCTCTAGAGTACACTCGTGCTCTCAGATGCTTGACAGACGCGATGGGCATTGCTACAATCGTCACATTATACCAGGCAGGCAACGGTATCTACGACCTTTTCGACAAAGTCCTCGTGCTCGACGAGGGCAAGCAAGTTTTCTACGGCACTCGCGAACAAGCTCGACCCTTCATGGAAGAGCAGGGCTTCGTATGCAGCGAGGGTGCGAACGTTGCCGACTTCCTCACTGGTGTGACAGTACCATCTGAGCGACAGATCAGATCCGGATTTGAAGGCTTCCCACGCAACAACATTGAGCTAGAGCAGGCCTACCAACGGTCTTCCATCAAGGCTGCCATGGAACAAGAACTGTCATATCCCACAAGTGACGCCGCAAAGTCGAACACCCAGTCCTTTGTCGAAGCTATGGCGATAGACAAGTCAAAGCATCTTCCAGCATCATCTCCCATGACAGTCTCGTTCTATAACCAGGTGAAAGCCTGTGTGGCTCGGCAATACCAGATCCTCTGGGGAGACAAAGCGACGTTCATCATCAAGCAAGGTTCTACACTCTTCCAGGCACTCGTAAGTCTCACCATTCCACTCCGAGCTACTATGCAGTGTCACAAGATGTATTCGAATTTATGACTGACTCCGCTCTTAGATCGCCGGTTCGCTCTTCTACAACGCCCCCGCGACCTCTTCTGGTCTGTTCGTCAAGGGAGGAGCTCTCTTCTTGGCTCTCCTCTTCAACGCATTGCTAGCCATGTCGGAGGTTACGGACAGCTTCTTCGGTCGCCCTATCCTCGCCAAACACAAGAACTTCGCTTTCTACAACCCGGCAGCTTTCTGTATCGCGCAGATCGCAGCCGATGTCCCGATTCTACTGTTCCAAGTCACTATGTTTATGGTAGTGCTGTATTGGATGGTGGCTTTGAAGGCTACAGCTGCTGCTTTCTTTACTGCATGGTAGGCGATGGAAGCTTATCTTACACATGAGTCGTACTAACACGCTTTGACAGGTTCGTCGTATACGTCGTCACCTTCGTCATGACTGCCTTCTTCCGCATGGTCGGCGCCGCCTTCCCCAACTTCGACGCCGCTTCCAAGGTTTCGGGTTTCTCCATCACAGCTCTCATTCTCTACATCGGATACCAGATCCCGAAGCCCGCGATGCATCCATGGTTCGTTTGGATCTACTGGATTGATCCTTTGAGCTATGGCTTCGAGTCTCTGATGGCGAACGAGTTCTCTGGTCAAGACATCCCTTGTGTCAACAACAACCTCATTCCGAACTTCCTTCCTCAATACCAAAACGGCGTCAACCAAGCTTGCGCAGGTGTTGGCGGAGCTAAGCCTGGAGCTACCTCGGTCAGTGGTGACGATTACCTGGAGAGCCTTTCTTACGCCAAGGGCCACATCTGGCGCAACGTCGGTATTCTGTTTGCCTGGTGGTTCCTCTTCGTGGGCCTGACCATCTTCTTCACACTCCGATGGGACGACTCAGCCAGCTCTGGAGGCGCTCTCCTAATCCCCCGCGAGAACAAGAAGAAGGTCCCACGCTCTATCACACCTGGCGACGAAGAAGCTCAAGCAAATGAGAAGAGCCCCAGAACCGACGGCGCCGACGAAAAGGCTACTGAGACCCAGGACTTGAGTGCCAACCTCATGCGCAACACCTCTGTCTTCACCTGGCGCAATCTATCATACGTTGTCAAGACTCCATCTGGTGACCGCACGCTTTTGGATAATGTTCACGGCTACGTCAAGCCGGGAATGTTGGGAGCCTTGATGGGCTCATCTGGTGCTGGCAAGACAACCCTCTTGGATGTATTGGCTCAGCGAAAGACAGATGGCACTATCCATGGAGAGATCCTCGTCGACGGCCGTCCACTTCCTGTTTCATTCCAACGTTCCGCGGGCTACTGCGAGCAACTCGATGTCCACGAGCCTTTCGCGACCGTCCGGGAAGCACTCGAGTTTTCCGCCCTCCTTCGTCAAAGCCGCGATACCCCACGCGAGGAGAAGCTGGCTTACGTCGACACTATCATCGATCTGCTCGAGCTACACGACCTGGAACATACATTGATCGGTCGTGTTGGAGCCGGATTATCGGTTGAGCAGCGCAAGCGCGTCACTATTGGTGTCGAGCTTGTTTCTAAGCCTTCCATTTTGATCTTCCTCGATGAGCCTACCTGTAAGTATATGTGACCACCTATCAAGTACATCGCTAACACTATCTAGCTGGTTTGGACGGCCAAGCCGCTTTCAACACCGTTCGATTCCTTCGCAAGCTTGCCGACGTCGGCCAGGCCGTCTTGGTTACCATTCATCAACCGTCCGCTCTGCTCTTCGCCCAATTCGACACTCTTCTGCTTCTCGCAAAGGGCGGCAAGACCGTGTACTTCGGTGACATCGGTGACAACGCTTCTACCATCAAGGAATACTTTGAACGATACGATGCTCCATGCCCTCCGGGTGCCAACCCAGCAGAACACATGATCGACGTGGTTACAGGTACACAGGGCAAAGATTGGCACCAAGTTTGGCTAGATTCGCCAGAAGCCGCACGCATGCACCAAGACCTCGATCACATCATCACCGATGCTGCTGGCAAAGAGCCCGGTACCACGGATGACGGCCATGAGTTCGCAACGAGCCTCTGGACACAAACCAAGATTGTCACCAACAGGGCCAACGTCAGCATGTACCGCAACGTCGACTACGTTAACAACAAGTTCGCCCTCCACATCGGTACCGCACTGTTGATTGGTTTCAGTTTCTGGAAGATTGGCAACACCGTCGCCGACCAGCAGCTCATCCTCTTCTCTCTGTTCAACTACATCTTCGTCGCACCAGGTGTGATTGCGCAACTACAGCCCCTCTTCATCGACCGTCGCGACATCTACGAAACACGTGAGAAGAAGTCGAAGATGTACTCTTGGATCGCCTTCGTCACCGGCCTCGTCGTATCCGAGATTCCGTACCTCATCATCTGCGCCATTCTCTACTACGTCTGCTTCTACTACACTGCTGGTCTTCCGTCGGACTCCAACAAGGCAGGCGCCGTGTTCTTCGTCATGCTCATCTATCAGTTCATTTACACCGGTATCGGCCAGTTCGTTGCGGCATACGCTCCGAACGCTGTGTTTGCCTCGCTGGTCAACCCTCTCATCATTGGAGTCCTCGTCTCCTTCTGTGGTGTACTGGTGCCGTATGCGCAAATTCAGGAATTTTGGAGATACTGGATGTACTGGCTGAACCCCTTCAACTACCTCATGGGTTCGTTGCTCGTCTTCACAGACTTTGACTGGGAGATCAAGTGCTCCGAGTCTGAGTTTGCCATGTTCGATCCTCCATCTGGCCAGACATGTTCCGAATACTTGACAGCGTGGATGGCCGGACCAGGCAGTCGCACGAACCTCGTCAACCCTGATGCTACTTCCGACTGCAGAGTCTGTCAATACACCAGAGGTAGCGACTACTTGTACACGGTCAACTTGAACGACTACTACTACGGATGGAGGGACGCGGCGATCTGCGTCATCTTTGCTATTTCGAGTTACGCGTTGGTCTATGTTCTCATGAAGCTGAGGACCAAGGCGAGTAAGAAGGCGGAGTGAGTGGGCGCCTTTGTGTTCTTGCCGCTTGTTACTCAGGATAAATTGCCTATTTCTCGCTAATGCATCGGCGTTCTTGGTCAACGTTTGGAGTGTGGGCTTTGTATTCTTCTTCTGTTCATCTCTAAAAGTTCTATCTTTAGACTACTTTATACCTTACTTAGATATGGCATCTGATCCTAGAGCAGGGTCAAGCTTGCTATGTGTAATATATTGTAATTTCTTGCGAAAGCGTGTTTCCTAAACCATGCGGCGACCTTGAGCGGCTTCATAACTGCGAGTGTGCATTTGTGAAAGACTCAACCTAATACTTGAGGATCCATCTTGCTACCCAATGGCAACTAAAGCTTTCAGAAGTGAAGGCAGGCCTTCAAGCCCGTACAAAGAAAATTTCTAGTGGACCGTCGTTCTTAGTGACTTTATACACGTGCACCGCGACAGCGCTAGTGAGTGAGAGAGTGAGACGCGGCTTCTCGCACTCCACAGCTCGACCCACCGACAACCAACGCGACTTTCCCCAAACGCGTTTTTATAACGCGCCACGATACTCAATTGCCATCGCGCATTCCCTCAGAACCCATCGCGACCCTGCAATGCCCCCGAAAGCACGTACTCCTCGCGGCAAGGCCGCCGCCGCGGTTGAAGAAGCGCCTGTCGCATTGCCAATGAAGCGAGGTCGCGCCGCCAAAGCTGCTGTCGTCGATGCTGTCGACGTCGTCGCCGAACCCCCGAAGAAGCGCGGTCGCCCTGCGAAAGCACAAGCTGAAGAGCCCGTCGAAGCAGCGCCGGAGCCCGTCGTCGAAGAGGCAGCAGTAGTAGCAGTCAAGAAGGGCAGAGGAAGGCCTAAGAAGGACACCGTTGTACAGGAAGAAGACGCGCCGGTCAAGAGTCGTGGTCGCCCCAAGAAAGAGGCTGTTGCAGAGCAAGCTCCAGCTACCCCCAAGCGTGGCCGTCCAGCGCGCGCTGCAGTCGACCTTCACCGCGTCGCTGGCTCCCCTCGCATCGGCAAGAGGTCGTCTCCTCGCAACACCAACAAGGTCAAGTCTGTCAAGCCGGAGCCCCTCGCTCGCCGCCTCGATCCTCGCATGCAATCCAAACTGCGTACACGACTCCCGCCCAAGAAGAGCGAGCCAGCTCCTCAGCCAGCTCCAAAGCCAACCTCCAGACGTGGACGACCGCCCAAGGCCGCTGCCGCTGTCGCTTTTATTGCTCCAAAGCAAGTCACAAAGCCGTCAAAGCTCCTCGCCCCTCGCAAGATGCGCGGCCACACCGTACGCCAGATCCCCGACCGATACGTCGCTCAGATCGACCAATACCTCCACGACCTCATCGAAGCGGACGAGTCTTCTGCCGCAGAGGAGCAAGAGGACGGCGTAGTCGTTGAAGTTGAAGATGCCCAGGATGCGCTTGTGTCTTCGGAGCAAGATCGTGATCAATACCAAGAGGACAGCGATGCCGGTATCGACATGAACGGTCAACAAGACCTCGTTGAAGACGAGGAAGACATGCAGGCTGTTGCCGCGCTGCAGCAGCAGGAGCGAGACGAGTACGCCGAAGACTCCCCTGAGGAGGCAAACGACGACGAGTTCCCCGAAGAGCTCCCCGAGAACGACGAGCCTCAGTACCCAGAGGAGGGCGAGAACGACGAGAACATCGAGCCGGTACACGAGGACGTTGAGATGAGCATGCACGATGTCGAGATGGAGGCGGACGCGGATGGCAACACCCTTCTCACTACCATCGACACCGACATTGTGGTCCGCGACGATAGCCCTCCCCTTGATGTTGAAGACGATGTTGAAGAGGAGGATGGTCTTCTCAACCCGACTCCCCCCAGGCCTTCCGCGGCTGCTGCTATCTTCAGCTAGACGACTTGTGTCTGGCTGGAGGGTACATATCTGGTTCTGTTCTGGTTATGCATTGCTGAGCAAGCGAAGTAGCATCTTCATTCTGATATCACGTAGCTCCTGTACAAAGCTTTTCATTACTTGCAGGGTATCGGGTCGATAGGGCAGGCCACGGGTTCAGGGTCAGCCTGCTCATACTGGCCACATGGTTCGCGTTTGCGTCGCGAGACGTCCATAGCGGCCTTCTGCCACACATGAATACACATTACCAACGAATTCTTTTCGCACATCACCGTAGTTGCTAACAGCTTGGACAGGACGTGCATTACACAATGACATACAGATACACTACAACTCTTCTCATCATTACGTCAACGTGAACATGGCGAAAACATCTTGTTCATGACTTCGAAACAACATGAGATAACTTGGAAACCTTTACAATTACACCTGGGCTACAGTACTATCCTACGACCCATACCGGCTTTTGAAGGTTTGATACAGCACGACTCCTCAACAACTCAATTTCGTCTCCGCCGTGCTCGGCCTACTCGGCCGACTCGTCTCAAACACGCCCCTCCGTCTCCTCACCTCCTCACCCATCATGCGCCAATCCGTCCAGCAATGAAACCCCAATCGATCGACATCGTAACTAATGCGCGAAGATAGAATTCCCCTCGCCATGCTCATGCCCATGGCTGTGTCCGTGGCTGTGGCCACCACCAGAAGCGCTGTGGTTGTGCACGGTGGTACCGCTGGAGACTACCCTGGAGATCTTGGAGCCGCCACGGGCTACGCCGCCGCTGCTAGCGTGGTAGACGCTGCTGGCTGACTCTTCGAAACGCTCCATCTCGCGGCACTTCTCCTCGTACTTGGCCATGTATTCGTCGCGCTCGCGGTCGGCGGCGTGACGCGCGGAGATGGCGCGTTCCTTCTGTTCGCGGGCCTCGTTGAGCAGGGTGCGGAGAGAGGTTATCTCGAACTCGAACTCAGCGGAGGAGTCGTCGTAGGTGGAGATGGTCTCGGTGATCTCCTCGTACTTGTGCTTCCAGGCGTTGAGGTCGGAGTGCGCGCGGTCGCGAGCGTACTTCAGGTTGGTGATCTCGGTCTGGAAGATGACGAGCTTTTCCTGGAGGCTGCTGATCTCGCCGGTGAGGTGGCCGTGCTTGCCGCGTGAGTCTTCGCCCTCACGGTAAAGCACCTTGTTGCGCTCGGTCAGAGTGTGGATCTCTGACTTGATCTCGGTGATCGTCAGCTCTGCGCGGCGGAGGGAGTCTTCCAAGATGTTGATGCGGCGGTGGCCGTCTTCCACCTTGCGGTGCTCGTCGTGGAGGTCTTGCTTCACCTGGTCGCGCTCAATGACAACGAGACGGTGGTCCTCGCGAGAGCGGTCGATGGCGTCTCGGAGCTCTGTGCGCTCGAGCTCGACGTCCCTCAACTTCTCCTTGACGGAAACGACCTCGCGCTTGATGTGCTCGTACTTGAGGGAGAACTCGTTAGCACGGGCGTCGGACTCCTCCCAACCTTGAACCTTGGCCTTGACCTCACGGCGGAGGTTGTCAATGGTCAGAGCATGGTCATCACGCTCTGTCTCAATGATGCGGACAGTCTCCTTGAGCTTGTGAAGCTCACGCTGCACACGGTCGTGTCGCTCAGTGAGCTCAGTGTACTCGCGAGTAGTCTCGTCAACGCGGGATTTCGCGCGCTTCAACTCTTCGTGCAGACGATCCTTCTCGTGGAGGTGTTCGTCCCGCTCAAGCTCGAACATCTTGATACGGTCGGTAAGAGTGAGGACCTCCTTGCGAGTAGACTCAAACTTGGAAGTAGTCTCGTTGTACTTGCTCTTGAGCTCAGTGTGCTCACGATGAAGTGTCCTGAGCTCATTGTGGTGCTTGTCTGAGTCGAATCGAGCGGAATCGCGTTCGCCTTCACAGATCTTCAGCCTGGAGTACGCAGCCTCTAGCTCCGACCTGGTCCTCTCATGATCACCATGAGTGAGCGTGATGGAGCTTTGAAGTTCGTGTAGCTCATGTCGGGTGTTCTCCAGGTCGCGGTCGCGATCGGAAAGCTTCTTCTTGTGGTCGGTCACTTGAGTAAGGGCAGCGTTAAGCTCAAGAACGAGCTTCTCCACCTGCCTCTTCCTCTCGCCGTGTTCATGACCATAATGCGAGTGTTCAGCTTCTTTACGCTGGATCTCTTCCGTCACCTCTTCGACGGTAATGAGAAGCTCATCCCTCTCACGAGAGAGACTGTCTCGCTCAGCCATGATGCGAGACCATGACTCTTTGAGCGAAGAAGCCTCTCGGGAGGCGGTAGACATGAGGTCCATCAAGGCGAAGAATTTGCCCTCAGCTTGTGATGTGAGCTCTGTAGACATCTTGCTTCGATGTGACTGGAGGAAGCTGCTTGCGCGACGAGAGGATGAGCTGGTCTGACGAGTCGTTCGACGTGTCAGTGATGAGCTGTGGCCGCCACCATTTGCTTGACTGGCGAATGAGAAAGATCGGTTGCCTGTGGGGGAGGAAGGCTCAGAAAAGACATCGCGAAGTCCACTGGCCTTGAGCTTCATGATGGTGAGCCTCTCGGGCGAGATATCGGCGGTGGTATCGAATGTGTCTGTCATTGTGATGATATGAGGTATTGAGAAAGATGTGAAGATGTTTGAGATGTATATGCTATGAGGGTGAGCGGAAAGTGGTACTTATGCTGTCAGTGCCGTCAACCAGCATCCTGCCCCACGTACCATGGTAGCGTATCACAAGCGGCACATCAATACTGCCATCGGTATAGTCAGCTCCTCGCATTAACGAGCTGGTCGTGGCTTGCAGCTTGGAGGTGTATTCCCACGTATGACGCAACGTTCTCAGAGCATTTGGCAAACTGGAGGAGCTATCCCAGCTGCCGTTCGATACGCTGCACTGTTACTGGAAAGGCACATGCAGCAACTTGGAACCATGCATGAGATAAGTGGGACCTCTTCATCAAGTGTCGGCGACTCAAGAGGTGGAGGTAACCATCGTAACATTCAGCTTGAATGAGCACCGCCTAGGAGATCAGACCCGGCATTGCGATATGCAATGACGATCCTTCGTAGCGCACGTCGATGAGAGGGATTTTGGCCTTGCCGCTCTCGCTTGTCGGGGCATTGGACTGCATGATGGATCACCTTACGACTGGATGATGTGATGCCAGGCGCGGGTAGATCACCAGGGCTGGGTATCTCGATGCTGCAGATCGCAGATCATATATGGGGGCGGGCCGCGCTATAGCATCCTCGCCGAGTCGACAGCGCCATCGCTTGACCTCGCTTGCTTCTTTCGGCCGCTACATGACGCCAGAGCTTTCGATAGTCCTAAACGGGATTCCGTCTTTCGTCGCGAGGGAAGAGCCGTGGGCCAATGACATTGCCTGGCACGCTGGACCGGACCGCGGTCAGGCAATCGGAAACGTCGGCCATGACCGAGCAATGGGATGACGAACGCTATTGGAGGGGAAGCTACACCGGTGCACGCCTGGCTATTACCAGTGTAGTGTATCAGTGAGCGATGATCGAAGAGCCGGTGGTTGTAAGACGTAGCTCCAGATCGTGCGGCGGCTCTGAGGCATGGTTGACGCTAGCACATGACCCCGCCCTTGTCGATGAAGAAGCAACGAAGGAGCGGAGGAGTTCGCATCGCCAAACCTGCGTCGAGTCTGGAACAGAGACATAGCAAACCTATCGATTCCAGAGACGTGGGTAGGAGATGTTCAAGCACCAGCAGGAACTTCACCCGTGCTTCAAGCATTTTCCTAATGCGGGTCTCGGTTCTGCACATCGTACCCGCACTTGCAGCGACGTCACAGCTAGACGAGAATTCGGGAAAGAGCGATCAAACCCCGACTGAACGCATCGATGGAGGTGTCCGGTAGTCTGTACTGATCCTGCACGTCCTTTCTCATACGTCTTGCGTTTTGGCTAGCGCGACACGGCCCTTCAGCTTCATGTGATCCGCATGCATTCCCTTCAACGGCAACACCGATGGCCTTTGATAGGCATCCACGAACCGGGCACACGCACGACGAGTTTACATTCCAACATTTTTCGTTTCTGCCCGGCCGCAATTCATTGCCAACGCGTCTCACAATGATGTGGTATCAAACACAACTTGCGTCTTTCAGAACAGACGACTCTTGGATAAAATGATTCGGCTCATCGCAACGTCTTTCTCACAATAGCAACGGACATGACGGGGCCCGTCATGTCTAATTTCCTGTCGCGAACGCAAGTCATCGATCAAGAGAGGTGAGCCAGTACTAGCAGATCCCATTTAGCTGAGTCGCCGCGGCCTTGATAAGTCCTTTGCAACGGATGGTCTTACCGTGTACAGCGTCCGATCACCATATCATGAATTGAAGAAGTGATTACATCCAAGAGTCTTTGCGCAGTGAACTTAACATAGAGATGTGGCGTATACTACCCTGCGTTACCGCTACCCAAACTTGAAACAATGTCTTCTTTGAAGATCGAGTTCATAAGAGCCGGGGAGGGTAAGCCCAGACGAAACGAAGACTGACGTCTTTGTTCGAGCATCTAAATCCAGATCTCACTAGACACCTTTTGGGCTTGTTCTTGGTAAGGAGCCATACTTGAAAGAAGTCTGCGAACGGCGCTCGTATCGCAGATATGATAAATGTGTCCAAAGGTAAGTCGAATGTGGTGCGTCAAGAGCGACACTTCGTTCTTTACGTTTCCGAGACCATCCATCCCTCTTTGCACTCACCTACCTTCCCGATACACACGCCGTCATGAAACTATCCCTCACCCCCATCTTCGCGCTTTCACTACTCGCCACATCCATTGATGCTTACGAATTCAAAACCGGATCAGGAGTTTGTGCCAAGCGTTATGAAAAATGCACAGAACCATGGGTTTACTCTTGCGAATGTAATTCGGGCTGGATTGTAAGTCTTCCATATCTTATACGAGGTTGCGCTCGCGCTTATTGTTATCAATACAGGTGCAGTGTAGTGGTGGCGGGACC